TTTTTGGGTGTGTTTTTTAAATGCAAGCAAGAATCGCTGTTCACTCTCTCCTCTCTTTGCGTGTGTGTGTATGGGTGTTTAAGGCACATCAAAAGTGAAACACACACACACACACAGAGTCAAAGTCCGCTTTCTGCCGCCGACCCCCTTGGCCTGCGCCTGTCAGCTTTTACACATGTCGGCTTTTAGTCTGCCTTCAGCTTTATTTATTTTATGATTTTAGGAAGGCGCAGTTGGCGTCTGCTTCTTCTTCTTCTTCTGTTAAGTTGAAGTTAAAGTTGAAGTTTGTTTCGGTTTCGGTTTCTGTTTCATATGCTGTTTGCTGCAGTCTTCGTTTGTGTTTATTTTGCTGTTTTTATTTATCATTGGGGTTTGCTGCGTCTCTTTATTAGTCATGAGCTGTTGCATGGCTTATGACAATTCCTTTAGCCGCTTGTCACGCCTCGAAAATGTGCGTGCCATTAATCAAAAGGCGAAAACAAAAAATTCACGAAACTTCACGAAGGCCGCAAACGAGAAACTTAAACTCAAGACTAAAACAAGAAATGAGCATTGAAATGAAGTATGTTTTTAATATTATTTATTATTAATATTCCTTATTGTTAGCATTAGTTACTGTTAACAGCATTTAGTAATATTAATATTTGTTATTCTTAAAATTATTTAATATTTATTATTTATTATTTATTATTTATTATTTATTATTTATTATTTATTATTTATTATTTATTATTTATTATTTATTATTTATTATTTATTATTTATTATTTATTATTTATTATTTATTATTTATTATTTATTATTTATTATTTATTATTTATTATTTATTATTTATTATTTATTATTTATTATTTATTATTTATTATTTATTATTTATTATTTATTATTTATTATTTATTATTTATTATTTATTATTTATTATTTATTATTTATTATTTATTATTTATTATTTATTATTTATTATTTATTATTTATTATTTATTATTTATTATTTATTATTTATTATTTATTATTTATTATTTATTATTTATTATTTATTATTTATTATTTATTATTTATTATTTATTATTTATTATTTATTATTTACTATTTACTATTCATTATGTATTGTCAATATTATTTACTGAATTTAAAATTTAAATTTAAAATTAATTAGTAAAGTTCCCACTCAATTTATAGTTCAGCTAAATGATTACCGAAAATAAAAGACGACGAAATTGTTTATTTGTTGGCCTTTGCTTCTAAATATATCTCACCCATAGAAATATGCATATTTTAAATTTATATACCATGAAAATAATAATTTTTCATACGTTAACAGTAATTTCCGATTTGATGGCATCGTCGTTTGTTTTTCTGTTTGGTTTCATGTTTCTTTAATTAAAATGAATAAATCAATTATTTTATGAAAATATTTCACATAACTACTTAAACTCGATGTAGAATGCAACTTAGAGAAACGTATATATGTATATTGAATTTGTGACTATGCTCAAATGTTTTTTCTACATATCGAAACCGAATCTATTATCTTTTGAATCTATAAATGCCTAGTTGATATATGGCTTATAAGAAAATGTAAATGGATAGGCATTGAATTATATCAACTTGTAATATGCATCATCTATAAGAGATTTCAGATTCATCGAGTGCTCGCAACTCTTAACAATGCTCTGCTTGGTACCTTTTCGGCACATCGGTTCATAAGTAACTCCCACTCGTAATTCAATGCATATTCTTCTTCCTCTTCTTCTTATTTAGGCAACACGTTTTTTATTTGAGTTCCAGAATTTCGCGCTTTTCTGCGACTTTTTTGCACAGCGGGCAATTTTTGGCGTTTTTGTCGAGCTTAAATAATATTTTAATACAAAAATATAAATGTGTATTTAAGCTTGTGTGTGTGAGACTGTGTGAGAGTGTGTGTTCAGCTCAGACAGTTGGCTCAAATTGCGCGCGTTTATTCCATTAATCATTTGGTGCAACAACAAAAACAAAATAAATTTAAAAAAAGAAAAAAAGGTAAAGCTCAGGCAAAGGTTTAGTAGCCAAGTTCAATAGAACTTGTTTAAATCTAACGTGTATAACGAATCTGTATGTGTGTGAGTGTGTGTGTGTGTGTGTGTCTAAAACATGACCAAGCAATTTCGAGGCAGTTGAGAGTGGAGTCTTGCTACGATTCGAATCGCGAATTGAGCCGACTCAAGTCGAGTCGAGTCGCGTCGCGTCGAGTCGAGTCTCAGGGGCCGTGATCTGTGCCTGCGGCTTGTCTGCGAAACTTGATTAAAAATTCAAGGCCACTTTGTGGCAGCAACGCGCATTTGAAACGAAAGCCCACTCCGGCCGTCTCGTCTAACCATTAACCATTAGCCACTGCCCATTGCAGCGGGCTGTGGCATGTTTAGAAAGCGGTTACAAATACAGCGGCTGCTGTTCGGGCTGCTCGGGCTGCTGCCATTGTCTGTCTGTCCCGCTTGCCCAGTGCACTACTCGCTGCACTTGGTGTTTCTCTGCCTCGTGGCCAAACCAGTTGCTGGCTCGGACTGGGTCTGCGTGGATGCCATTGAAAGTGGTTTTGGCCCGGCCACCTATTTCTGTTTCCATTGGCTTGATACACTTTCAGTGGGTTCCATAAATTTGCAACGGCCTGTGTAAGGAAGTCATTCAGAAGATAGACTAATTAATTTAGTATGACTCGAAATGAGAAAAGTGTAGCCCATTTGCTATTAGTATGGCTATTAGTCAAATTTGAATTAGTGTAAATATACTTATTAGTGTTATATTAATCTTTGTATGTTTATGTTTTTTTTTTTTTTTTTATAGGTAATAGTATTTGTTATTGTTGTTTTTAGTACAGACTCGAATGTAAGAATTAGTATTAGTATAAATATTGACGTTTTTGATTTTTATGGGTATTTTCATAGGCTATTATTGGCATTAGTATAGATTTTAGTGGGGGTATTGGTTTCATTTCTAATATTATTATTTGATATAGATCTAGTGGTAGTGTTGTAGCATTCAGTACTGTTAACGTTAATCAGCAGGTCGCTAGGCTCTCTTACCAATTTGTTGATAAAATATTACTAAGAAGTCTTACATTTGATGTAAGAAGTGAACGAGTCACGATCTATAGTTAATTTACTAAATATGTAACTTAACAGATGTAACATTGATGCACTTAATTCATACATACATACATTCTGCTAGGGTATTCAAACTTCGTCTGGGCTTTGACTCTCTCTCTCTCTCTCTCTATCTCTCTCTCACTCTTTACCTGCAGCTGTAGCTGATTGGCTTTTTATATAGCAAATTGCAATGTTTTCGCATCGCTTGCATTGTTTTTGTGCAGTCAACAGTTTAGTTTCATATCTCACAAAATCATTTAACATTTAAATTAAAATGTTTAATATTTCAAGTGTATTTCGCACTCGGGCTCGCAATTTTTTCATTCAATTCGGCATTAGCCATAAATAATTCAAGTTGAGTGGTTTCCATAATGTTTGCTAGAACTGAAGCCAACTTTTGGACTCATTCAATTTAGCTGAGTTCAAACTGTCTCTGAGTAGTTAAAGTAATTACTATTCATTTGAACATATTGCTTGGAATTGGCAACCCTGCTGTGCCAACTGTGGCAACTCTGTCATAGAACTTAACAGAGCTAGACAGGTTAGTTTTTCTGGGGAAACGACGAGATCAAGTCCTCTACATAAAATAAATGTCCTCTACATATATAAATGAATGAAACAAATAATTGAAGATATTAACTATTTTATTTAATAACTAATAATTAGTTTAAAAACTATTTTAACCAAAAGATTGTGTAACGAGTTTGAAAATTAAAGATGTGTGAGAATTTAATACTAAAAATAATTAAATTAAATAATTAATGGAAATTTCAACAGGTCGTAAATTGACAAATATCGTACACCAAATTTATATCTTAATTTATATATTAATTAATTTTAAATTGATCTAAGAGAACTGCAAATTGATAGTATGCTGGAATAATATTTTCGTATATTTTACTTCCTGTTTATCGCTCTCTCTCACTCTCTCTCTCTCTCTCTCTCTCTCTCTCTCTCTCTCTCTCTCTCTCTTCATCTTCATCTTCCTCTCTCTTCCTTTATTAGCCCTTATATTATGCTTCTGCTTACTTGGTCGTTTACAGGGTATTCATTGTTGTGCAAATACGCCTTCAGGTGCTTCACAACCAAATAACAGCCCACCTGCGAGTGTCTCTGTATGTGTCTCTGTGGTTAGTGTGTGTATGTGTGTGGCGAGCTTTAATAGCCACAGATTCTTAGCACTTCTTGCTACCATTTGCTCCTCTTTGCTTCTGTTGCTGCTGCTGTTGCTGTTGTTGTTGTTGTTGTTGTTGTCGTTGGCTGTGCTTGATGGGATTGAACATTTCTTGGGGTTCCTCTTGTGCTTTTCGCATGATGATCGCATGTTTATAAATAGTTGGGACGTTAAAGTAATATGTATATGAAATGTCGATTTCGTAGTGTCTACGATTTCCATATAGTATATGTGTGCGTGCATGTGTGTATGTTTTCTCTCCCTCTCTCTCTCTCTCCCTCTCTCTCTCTCTCACTCTGTTCTGGCGGTGCTTTTGAGCTTTACCTTGAGTTTTGGTTTCATTTACGCAGAGCTCAGAGCCGGAGTGAAGAAAATTGTCGGCCGTTTGGCATTTGCTTTTGTTACTTGTAATTAAAGTTGCCAGCGGAAGTTAGGTGAGCTGTGAAGTTAACTTGGCAAACACACATGCATTGAGAACACTTATACTATACATGTGTTGTGTGTCCGTATATAGGTATAAGTATGTATTTAGCCACTGCGGAAATGTAACCTTAGACAGATGCGATAGCTCGCAACTGCAACTGCAACTGCAACGGCAATTGTAATGTTTCATTTATATTTCTGGATATAACTTTTATTTATGTATAATCACATTTGAGGTGCTATTTTGCATATAATAATTCTGCTTCTTTCTTCTTTTGCAGGTAATGTCATACAGCCATACAACATTTTCCCAGCCACAGGTAATCGTCCCTAGCACTGTCTATGCTTGTATATATATATTTTTGTATATATAGATATGCTTATATAAAGGTATTTGTTAACACGCCCACACGCCCCCACAACACAGCATTTACGCAATTTCTCTTAGCAAAAAAAAAATGTAATTTGACAGGCGCACAGAAATCATATGACTGACAAGTTGCCCCTTGACACACTTTTTGTCATAGCAACAAATAAAATAAACGCTGTTTATATATAAATATGTTTATATATAAATAAATGTTAACATTTTGCCCAACAATTCGCATTGTCCGGTTAGCGGGGGCGGGTAATGTTTTTTTTTTTAAATTTGTTGTTGCCTTTTCATGTGCCAAACAACAATTTAGACCTCCAAATGAGCCAGTTTACTAAGGCCAAGAGAAAAAGGGATACATTCGAAAAGTTTGGCAAGATTTGTAATACGTCTAAAAAAGTAATTCCAAGCTGTAACAAGTAAGAAAGCTCTAGTCGAGACTACTCGACTACGAGATCCCCTGAACCCTTGGAGTAATAGCTATTTCAATAATTTTTCGCGTCTTTCAGCTTACACAAGAAACACGCACACACACACACACTCGCACGCACGCACGCACACACAGGCATACATACACACACATACATACACACATACACACACACATACACAAACAATTACATACATATACACACACAAGCATAAACACGCATGGGCGGCAGTGAGCGCTTACTATGAGAACTTAATTGCTTAATAACTTTTTTTGTGGACGTACGATCTTCATGAAACTTTCAGATTATGATTATGACATGGATATGCATGTAATTGCCAAAGCACAAGTCTCTAGTATTTGAAATACGCTTTTTACAAAAGTGAGGGTGAGGGGGTGAATTTAAGGGTGGGGGGTAAATTTTAACAAAAACCGAAATTGTATAAATTGCATATAAGCATACATTAAAAATTTGGAGACTCTAGCAATAAAGGTGTAGAAGATATAATTTTATAACTGGTTTTCGATAAGGTTTTTTATCGATAAAAAAAGATCGGGATGAGTTATCGATTTTTAATGATAAACTTGATAAGCGCGCTGTAATTACGAACATTTAAAAAAAAATTTGAAGTCTCTAGCTCTTATATCTTCTGAAATCGACGCGTTCATACATACGGACAGACGGACAGACGGACAGACGGACGGACGGACAGACGGACAGACGGACAGACAGACGGACAGGGCCAAATCAACTCAGCTCGTCGCGCTGATCAAGAATATATATACTTTGTGGGGTCTGCCACGCCTCCTTCTGCCTGTTACATACATTTCAACAAAACCATTATACCCTGATTTCCCATTGAAAATGGGTTCAGGGTATAAAAAGTGTAGAACTTAGAAAAATATATATATAAATAATAAATTTTGAGATATTAGAAATACGTAGATTGAACTGTAAGGACTAGAAATAAAATAAAATAAATAAATGCATTTGAAACATGTAAGAAAGCTCTAGTCGAGACTGCTCGATTACGAAATCTCTTGAACTCTTCTAGGAATTGATATTTCAATAATTAATCGCGCCTTTCTGCATACACAAGAAACACACACATAAGCACGCATGGAGTGCAGTGGTGGCTTACTATGGGAACATAATTTTTTAATAACTATCTTCATGAGACTTGTAGATCGTGATCATAACAATAAAATGCGTGTATGTGCCAAAGCACAAGTCCCCAGTATTTAAAATACGCCTTTTACAAATATGTGGATGAGCGAGTGGATATAGGGGTGGGGGGTAAATGACGAAAATCGAAATTATATAAAACACATATAAGTCTACATTCAAAGTTTGGAGACTGTAGCTCTAAATGTGTAGATTTCGATAAGGTTTTTAATCGACAATAAAATATCGAGAGTAGTTATCGATATTTAGAGAAAAACTCGATATGAACGTGATATACACGGACCTGGGAACAAAAATTTCAAGTCTCTAGCTGTTATATCTTCTGAGATCGACGCGTTAATACATACGGACGGACGGACAGACAGACGGACAGGGCTAAATCGACTCAGCTCGTCGTCCTGATCAAGAATATATATATACTGGCACGCTTTCTTCAGCCTTTTATATACCCTTATTTTTTATATATATTATATATAAGCAGAATTCTATTTTTCTATGGGGAAATATTACAATTTTTGACCATTTTTCTTTCAATAAGGGACTTAGTTAAAGCGATCTATCCTTAAGAATGACTTTTTTTATAGCTTTTTCTTTAATTTTTGTTTCTACCAACAATGATGACGAATATTAAGATCTTAAGCTGAATGTATTTCTCTTTTTGATGTTGAAGAATGTTGTGAATAACTTAAGATCCCATTTAGAGAGCAAAGCGAAAATAAAATACATTTAACCCACAATTAGTCGAGATAATTCGCGTGAAGAATAGAGACAAACTGTTTCATAATTAGATCATAAATCAGGCGTGTTCGAAATTATGCAGAAGATTTTTAAATATTACAGTAGCTTATCATGCTGACGGATTTGATGTACTTAAGACCGGAACCTGAGGGAATTTTCGCAATTTGTTTCGTTTGCCCCTTTCCTTTCACTTATTTTCTGTTTTTGTTTTTGTTTTCGTTTTTTGGTGTCAGGCAATCGTCAGCTCTTTTTGCAAGTGATTTATTTGCCGCAAAATAAAATCGTACATCTGATGGGTGTGTGTGAGGGAGAGAGTGAGAGGCAGAGAGGGAGCGAGCGAGTGATAGACGCAAAATGCGAACTGGACAGGTGTTCGAAACACAACGAAAGTTTTGACAATTTGTCGCGCGGCGAGAGATTAATGCGCCTTAACAAAAAATCTAGACAGGCCCAAAGCTGCTATCAAAATATATAAATTTCGTATGTGGATAGCAGTTTAGTGAAATTTATAATTTCTGAATTTTGAATGCAGCTTACACTGCGAAAAATCGAAAAAAAAAGAAAACGAAATGAAAAAGAAAACGAAAACGAACAAGATAGAGAAAAGAAAAAATCAAATCAGCAAGCAAACAAATTGATAATCGCATTATGTTCACATTTTATAATTTTACTTGATTTCAGTTGTTCAGTTTTTGGCGCTTTGCTTATGAGAAATTCCTGGAAATGTATTTTGTAATATGCTCGTATAGCTCCCCCGTTCTGTTGTGATCGGCTTACAGAGTGCCAGTCAGAGTAATGTAATACCGCCGCCTCGACCAGAAGAAGCAGAAGAAGTAGCCTCGGTCAAATACACTTTCTGCTGCACTCGACAAAAGAATTTCCCACAATGTCAACGGCTCGAGCACCGAAAATTGCGCATACGCATCGTAGTATAGCGTGGCCAGAGCCCTGGAGCCAGGAAAAACTTGCCAGAAAAAAAACTAAATGAGAAATGTTCGGCCTGCGGCTGCAGCACAGAGCGTGCCTGCACTTGAAACGCAGTCACCAACAATTCCGCTCGTTCCCTCCTCCTCCGACTCGACTGCAGTTCAATGCCTCTGCCAGTGGGCCGAATGGGAAAATATGAATATATGAATATCTGAATATATGAATATGTGAAAGCATGAAATGTGAATATGTGAATATGTGAAGTGCAAGAGTTGCTGCTGAAGATTGAATAACATTCAAAAGAATCAATTGCCGAGGCGGGCGCTATGGAAAACCAACTTCCTCTGGCGCTTCTGAAAACCGATATTAAATTCGTTATATAAATTCGCAATAAATAAATAAACATAGTTGAAATTTGATTCAGGTGTTGCCTTACGTATGTGAGTAGTATAAAAATTACTTTATATTGTCCTATATTAGTTGATTATGCAGCTGGAATCTGTTTGTATTCCCCATTTGGGACGTTATGGTATCTATTTCCCAATCTTGGAATTCCAATATCAAATATTAATAGGTGTATTGTTAGTTGTAAAGCTAAAGACAATGCCAAAGTAATAATTAAATACTGGAACTATATTCATGTATGATCGAACAATAAACGGGTATGATATTTCATCGTTGATTCGAGAAAGGAATTCAAGAAATCGAAAGGAAATACAAGTGAAATCCTCATCTGCTTGCCTTGGCTAGATAGAGCCACTGATTCTTCTATAGCGTTTTTATGGACTCTCTCAGTAGGCTATTTATAGCCGTAAGTTAAGCCCACTCGTTCGGCTGACATCTGAAAGGCGTCTGTCTAGGCTCCTTATCCTGTGGCTTATGTGCATCAATGGTTTCGCCTTCTACTTAAGCCGTTTGTGCTCAGAGCTCGGGCCACACGAAATGGCCCCTAAGTGCGTAAGTGCGTAAGTGCCCAATACCATATTTTACGTGCACCCTCCTTCGGCCAGCCGGCAGCAACTGCATTGTCAACTGACGTAAATTACTTCAAGGACGCACAGTAACCCGCGCTGCAAAAAGCAGACAGACCAGACAGCTATAATAATAAAAGACGACAGCAGACGCCAGATAGAGAGCAACGAGGGAGACGGAGATAGAGACAAAGACGGCGACAGAGATGGAGGCAAAACCAGAATAGGAGCAAGTCGAGTCAAGTCGAGTCGAGTCGCTCAATAAAAATCACTGACCATCAACAATGTGGCTGATATTTAATAAGTCTGCAGTGCGAGAGACGACGACGACGAATACAAAGAGAAAATCAGGCAGGCAAGAGTAGGGTGCTCAGGGTGTTCATTGAATGGGTAACGTCTATGGTATTGGATGTCGCTCGAGTTGCTAGTGATGCTGCATAACAAGTTGTATACAAGCTGTACAGCATGCTGATAATGTAATGGACAATAACAATAAAATTGTACAAAAGCCCGGCCAGACAATGATGTCGAGACGCCCGTACGCCCGTACGCCCGTACTCTCACTCACTTCGTTTACAGAATGTATTGACTTTTCCCATGAGCCACAAGGTCGCTGGCAAGCCACAAAATATTTTAAGGCTCAATTCTATCGCACTGAAGACCGTATACAAACATTTTCCAACAATATTCCATAT